AATGCGCTGAGATCAATTTAACTAAAATTGGCTGTGAGTTTGTTTCTACGTGAAAAGGCAGTTCGGACCAAAATAGGATGATTGACCTAACACTTTGACCATGTTGGTCAGTTAGTAATTATAAAACCCTTGTCAAAGATTTTTTTGTAAAAGGACTTTTGCAATAAATATCTAAAATTAGTAGATGCCAAGGAAGCAGACATAACAAAGAGTTCAAAAGTGTAAAAATTTGCATTTTTTATTTATTTCAGTTCATGATTTCTGCATCAACCTAAAATAAAAAGTGAGTGGATTCCATCGTCAAAATAAATAGTTCAAGTAGTTTCTGAAATAAAACACTCACTAACTCATTTTCGTTAACTCAACGTTTTATCAAAGTCTATCGTATCATTCTCACGGCATTTGAAGAAATCAAAATTTTTTCAGAAAACTTTAAAAGTTGAAAAAATGGACCGGATATTTTTTCATTTCAATTAGATATATTTATTTAACAATTGTTTATCACCAATTCCGCTATGAATAAGTAAAATGAATTCAATCTCAAGTACAGTTAGAGCGATTTTTCTTTTGTGGGGCAAAATTTTATGGCAATAATAGTAGCAGCTGAGGACAACTTTGTCGCAATTCAAACGGTTCACGGCTTATAAGTTTCACAAACATTTTTGTCATTTCTCATCTCTTTGTTTATCCATTTCTTTGAAGCGGCTAATTGAAATGAGATAACTTTTTGGTCATAAAGGACCCAATTTCATTAACTAACTTATATTATGCCGAATTTTTGCCAGCTTGTCTGAGTACGAGAACAAACTTTCTTTTAATTTGCTTCTTGGGTTGATTATCAAAAGTGATACTCTTTGTATCCCGATAATATTCCGCTATAACTCCTTTCAGCTTTAATACATTCTCTAGGCTGTATTTGTGCACGAGTAAAATTTAGAAGTCGGAACACTGATTTATCTTTATCCTGCAAACAGTTACTGTTGAATGATTCATGTTTTAATAAAAACAGATGCCTTATTTTCAATTATCCCATTTCCTACAGAAGCAAATCAGTATTTGGCAAACAGCGAGTGATAATTTGTTCCTTTCAAAAAACGTTATGTAAATAAAAGTGAGTACAAAATGCTAATAACGCTGGCTTTTTGTATTAAGTAAGAGTTATTCAGTGGAAACCGAATCGTTTTAATATCATGCAAATCAAGGAAACGTAAATATTTATAGGAAAACAACATAGGGAGAACAGGGCATTTACGCTTGCTCCCTTAACAATTCAAATCAGGTAATTTTTGGCAGAGAAGTAATTTCAATTGCGACGAGAGAATTTGCAAACTGCAAAGCGTGCGCACTAACCTCAACGATTGCCCATGTTGGACTCTTATTCTGGATCTGAAGGATGTTCGTCTATTTCCACCCTATATTCAAGCGAATGCGCACGTAAGTTTGGCTCAGTTTCCCTCTCAAGTCGATAGAAAATTCCGAATCATTTAGAAAGCTTCTTTTGTTATTCTTAATGAGCTTGAACAATTGGTGAGAAATTTACTCGTGCAGAAGTGTTTGTTGAACTTTGTCATCGAGTGAAATGAAATAGTAATTATGGTTGTAATTCATGGGATTCTTAGTGTTTTGTTATTAATCGTTTGCTATTCAAATGGTAAGTATTTTCAAATTTATATTTTGAAAGTTGCTTTTTATATCTTTAGTTGATGTTAAATAACATAGTAAATGGTCCAACAACTTTCAAGATCACGAATATGCAGCTCTGAAAAGCTAATAAATCCAACCTGAATTTGTAGCCAAAGTTTTAAAGTATTGCCAAATATTTTACGAGATCACTTGTTATTTTATTTAGCTTCTGGAAGCGACAGTCCGATAGTAAACAAAGTACTCGAGAAAAGTAGATTTGTTAGCCAATGAAAAGTCTAAAACAATGGTAACTTATTCAAACGTTTGAAAGTTTTTATTGTATCATTTTGGGCAAATATAAATCTATATCAATATTAAACTGCTTTATTACTAGAGTAGTAGAAGTAGAAGTATAGAAATAAGGCAATGAGCGAAACAAATGTAACTGGGGGCGAAGTAATTAGTAGCTAATCAGGATATTTTCTAGTTGTTGTTTATGATCTACTCTAATGGCTCTGATAAAGTCAATTAAGGTTTGAAAATAGTTTTCGAAAAACATATGTAGGTATGCTTTATATAAATATAAAGTGAGATTTTTAATAGAATGTTTCCATTGTATAGACAAATATTTTTCAGTTTTTGCGCCATATTCTAAACGTATTGCATAATGCATTTAACCAATATATTGAATATTTTATCATTGTTTAAAACTCACTAATAATTTATTTAATTATCGCACTGTAATCGTTAGTAATAACAATTGGAGCATACGAGTATATATTTTTTGTTCTATTAAATTATGATCAACATAAACTACTATTATGTCCTAATATTTATTTAGAAAATTTTTTAAAACCTTTATTTTGAAAATAGTACATTGTGGAGAACTTTACGACTAAAGGCGGTTGTAATGACTAAAACCGATCTTTGAAAAAGAACGATCTGAATAACTAAAGACTCATTCATCGGAAACGATAACGCGTTTTAATTTTTATATTATAGTTATAATCCTCCCTGTTTTTTGGAAGAAAATGGTCTGAAAAACATACAAACATAAGTTCTCTAAATTAAGTAATAAGCGTTTTTTTCTTAAATTCTATTTGCAATCAGTGTGTTATATTTTGCAAAAATATTCGATTGTTTGTGCATTCCTTAGGTTTTTCGAGATGCCACAAGTAATTATGTTATTATTAAGTTTATTAATGTTCTTTGTCGTTAATGTTAATGTCAGATCGACTTAGTTGCTACTTTTTTATCCACTTTCTTTAAGTCACCCTACACATATTATCAATAAAATTGTTCATTAATTCATTCAATCATCATTAGTGAACATTTTTTAAAATTTTTCTCAAAAGTCCATATGGAAATCTTTCTGTTAACAGAAAGGGCAACTAATTTCACTGGGCAGTAAAAACGCAGATGCTGCCAGATGGTTCAAATTTTATTAAAATAGCTAATCGGACCTTGTTACAAAGTTAAGAAAATAATTTGGCCATAATTCCGTCGACATCAATTATGTCGCTTAAAGTCTTGAGCATAAATTACTACAAAAATTGATACCAATTTTTAATTGGAAAACAGTATGACGATATTTTCATTGAAAGGACGACAGTTTTTTTAAATAAAAATTCGTTCGAGTTCGTCTAAAAACAGCATATACAGCGTGATTCAAAATCGAATTCACCAACTTAGAGGTGTTTTCACGGGGTATTTGGTAGTCCCAAAAAGATATAAGAAAATGGTTATCGCCTAAAATTTCGATTTTTGGAAAACTACAAAATCGTACTATGTCTTATATCACGTCCACAAATGATATTTATTTCATTCAAATTACGTAAACACCTGTTGTAAATTATCAAAGCTTATCAGTGAAATTAAAACGCAATTAGAGAAAAACGGATCTCCTTACTGATGGAAGCATACATTCGTCACTCTAACCAGCTGTTAATTATGTAATGTTTTAAAATTCAGTTTTTCCAATTGAGTTTCCCAAGAAATAATCTAAATATCTGTGTTTTAATGCGAACGTCATTTCGTGAGTTATTGATCTATATCTACCAAAAAAACAGCCATAACATGTCAGTTCACATCAAACTTTCCCGGTTTTATGTCGTAATTTTCATTATTAATGTTTCTAGCTCACGGCACCGTTTAATATTAAAGCAAAGGATTCTAGCGACATGTTTTTGCATTCAGAAGGCCAATTATTGCCTGATTCATGTGTGTTGTGCTGCTTCAGAAAAGACTCGGGCAACTGCTGCGGCGGCTATAAACTCTGTAACTTGTTTCTGTAACAAACCCCCCCGGTGTCATGAATAAAAAATAATTCTGAGTTACATAGAACAGTACCTCTATCAAGTAAAGTTTCATAAGGTAGCATTACTTGCTTACGAAACAGAATGGATACGCGCAAAACAAAGCGCTAAAAGAAGAAAGCACGATACCGCTTCAACATCCAACCCCAAACCACAAAAACCCTCCAGCAATCAAGGTAACATACCTAGAAAGGCACAAACTGGACAAGAAAACGTTAGAAGGCCACCACCAATCATAATAGAAAAAATTAACTTTAAATAATGATAATTGAACATGGAACAGTGAATGGGTTCCTTGTAAAATGTAATCAATGTTTTCTAAGATTTGCTGTGATTGCAAAGTTACATTCCTGTATCTTGCAATTTATATATTAAGTAAATCTTACTTTTAGATTCTTTTTTGTATTTCGAAACGATTTTTCTTTGATTTTGTATTACGGTTTCCAAGAAATGCGTTTTAAACACTATTAATTACCTTCTGCTTTGCTTATTGAAGGATTCTTTTGTCTATGACACCAATACCTTAAAAATATGTGCATTTTCATCTCCAACAGCATACACAGCTAAATTGCTTAGTATAAAAAATTTCTAATATCTTTCATTGTAATGAACCATTTTTGATTTATCAGTATGTAATGGGTCAATTTTCTTGAAGCCTCACAATTTGTTTCATGGCACCTCCTTGGTGCATTTATGTTATCAAGTTGGAATTAGTTATTACAGTCGCGAAATGCTTCTAAATGGGACGACTTTCAACCAATGAATGTTAATCGCTGCCAAAAGTAACCTGGCATGGAAAAAATAATGCTTATTTTGGGAAAAAAATTATATTGTGTTCGGGTGATATGTGTTTTAATGCACTCATACAAATATACAACCTGCTTCGATCGATCTGCAATCTTCTGCAGGCGTGCTTTAAAATTCTACTTTTAACGCATAAGTTATAAATAGCTTTTCCAAAAAGTAACTGCGATTTTCTCACTCATTCAAGTGTCTATAAAAGTGGCGCACCTGCAACGAAGATATTCCTCACTAACCTAAGTTAAACCATCAGGCGACTTTCGCTGAAAAGTTGCAGCTGTAACCAGAATTTAGATTCTAGAAATTTAGCTACATCTCAACCAACACGTAAGCCCCTAAAGTATTCATAAGCTGTCTTCACCACATTACACTTTCAATGTTTGCCAGAATTAATTGACGCCAAAAATAAAGTTTAAGTGGTAAATATGTACAGCTGAAAGAGCGCTATTGGTCTAGCTCATCTTCAACGATTACTTTATACCGAGTTTCTCCAAAAGTTCGAGATGAAGAAGAATGTGCCCTAAGCTTTAAAGAATCAATTTTATCTATAACAAGCAACAGACTGGTTACAACCTGTATCATGTAGAAGATTTGAGCTAATGCGAGTCTCGACAAAACAGATAAAGTACCTTTGGAATTACTCTTTAAGTTTTGAGAAGCACACTTTAAAACCTAACCTCAAATATGATGTAACCCTGACATAATTGTCAACAGCTATTCCAGTTTGTTTTTGAGCAAAAAAGTATAGAAACTTAAATCTTCCGGAATTTTTTTTCCCATGTTTTGATTGTAATGTTTAGCTAATTATCCTAATCTGCCAAATTACCGTTAACGACTTTACAGAGTTGCTTAATTGCAAGCACCATAACCGCTAATATACTCCAGGAAAAACTCAAATGATTTAAAAAATATATTTTGTCGGGATCTCCAAGTAACCCCACCAAAGACCTTCAAAAACGACCGACATTTTTTAATCTTCCTGTGAATCGCGTAACATTTTCATGAGTATGAGATTTTTTGATTACATGAGGAAACGCGAAAGAATATGTTTGGGAACTCAAGTAATTAAGGAAATTATCATGACAACCAAGTAGTTCTTGGAATTCGTCACATTTGACCAAAAAGTCAAGCAACCCTGTGGGCAAAAGAATTTAGTTACTGTTAGACTGAACAAGTTGCCGCAATCGAAATGTTCACCTCGGCAATCTGCAAAGCTCGAAAGTCAACAACAGCATGGAATAAATTAATATCAAGCCTCTTTCCAGTCAGTACAATAAATTACCTGATGCTCGAAACGTAATTGCCTCGATTTAAATGATTGCCATTTAAAATTAGAATGCACCTCTGAAATTGATTGACAATTTCAAACGATAAACGTGTTTCCAGTGCTTCAGGTCTTTTCAACAATGCTGAAAACTAAAAGTTATGAGAGCGTTTTGTTAAATATGGAACAATAAAACAGAACGTTTTGATGTTTTATTCGGAGCCATTTATAAACTGATATGTCACTGTATCGCTGAATTGATTAAACAGTAGATATACCAAATTGATGAACAAAAATTATATTTGAAAACCTCGATTTAAAAAGTTTTATACAAAAATATATAAATAGAAATATGTGGATATCCTATACAGTCCTGCATATACAGCAATTGAGACTTGATTGCAAAAATAACTAGGATTCAAGTTTTTTCGCGCATATTCTAAATTTTGCGAATTACGTAAATAAATGTCATATACAATACTGATATGCAACATCAGCATTAAAATTTTCCGGAAAAAATCTATAAAATTCTGTGAATGTTGAGTGTATGTATATTGAATGAATGTATGGTGGACGGCAAAATGAGTGAACGACTGTTTAGTGAAATATGGAATGCAATAAAGGATTTCCGTTAGTGTCGACGCATTC